CGCTTACACCTCCGTATGGAACCTTAGCTGTGGACCAGCCAAAATATTTTACGGAATATGACCAAAAAGAGCGGTGTTCAAGGAGATTTCTTTAAAATGTAATATTTCGAATTAATGGTATGATATATCAGTGAACGTACACTATATTGCACTGTTTTGTGAGATTTATGACATTCACAGCTCCAGGTTTTCGACCTCTCCATTAGATGGGAAGTTGTAGCAGATCCTTGTAGCAATGAACAAGTGAATGTTGGAGTTGAAGCGCTGAGTCGGAGCAAACTAGTTTAGTGGCAAGCGTTTTCACTGCTAGGGGGATCGGCTCGATATCGCTGACTTTGTGCATCCATAAATATAAGTGTAACTGTACGAACAAGCACCTATATACCAGGTATCAGAATCAGAATATTTATTAAATCCTGGATAAATCTGATGAACTATGAAGCTATTTTTCACAGATGTCCAGGAGAGGCGGGTCAGATGTTACAACAACATTGTTAAAAAAAACGATAGGAGTGCAAAGTATAGGAAAGGTAAGCAAATAACTAAAAATAAATAACCACTAAACTATGTTTTTTTTAATATCAGGTAAAGCCCACTGAGCTATTTAGCCATTTTTAGAAGCGACCTGGCCACAAATTCTAGCTCAACGAAGTGGCTTATCACGTGGAAATTTATAGCAGCCAAATAATTTTAACGCATGTATCACACATGCGCACAGGTCAATATGTTAACTCTACAAATGCCATGACATCTAATTTCCTGATAAAAATGGAATGTCAAATATTCACATTTTAACGTATAATATTGTACATTATACATTTGGGAAACACAATTCAGAAGAAATGGCACTCCTGCCAACATGTAAATAATGGCCAGTGTATTTATATCATAGGTAATCATGAGCTGTTCATACCAAGAAATAAAAAAAAATACTTGTGCTGGCTTGGTGCACTGTGGGTGATAAATACATTGTTGATAAGCGCTGTAGTTGTTTCCTCACTAATGTGTTAACCAATGACGAGCGGCCTTCCAAACCAAGGGTTCTCGGTAACCTTTGCGTTATAACCAGAGTAAGAAGTTAAAGGTGCAGCCCTGCAATAGCTTGTTCGCGCCACTTGTGGCAGAAGCGCCTCCACCGCGGACTGTTCCAAGCTTGCGAGGCAACTTGAAAGTATGTAGGGGTTACCCACACTTTACCCCGCCACACGCGACCTGTGTTGCACCCATTTATACTGCTCGGAAGACAGAGGCGGAGGTGGTTTAAGAAGCATGCCCCATTGTTCCAACCGCCATGCCTGTGTAGAGACATCATCGCATGTCGCCGTGTGCGGGATTGCCTGTCGGGGCTGGGGGTAAATGCACTCCCAGCCCAGAGTGAAGGGGGCAGGAAGGGGGACCTACCCGAGGACCCCCCGAGGGAGGGGGGGGGGGGGGGCGAGGGGACACCGTGCTGTGGAGGGATCCTGGCTGGAGGGTCCGTAAAGGAGGTGGGCCTGAGGGCGGAGCCAGCCCCGCATGGGGGATAAAAAGCCGGGACCGCCCCCAGGGGGGGGATAGGGGGTTGATGATAACGTAGAAGACGCTACACCCAAGCCTGAAGAGGTGCAACACCTGGGAACGCGGACTCGTGAAGAGGACTAGGGTGTTACGTCGGGGCGTGTGTGTTAGGTTAGCTAGTTCGGTGGGTTACCACCTTAGCTAACCTGGTGTAGGGGCCGTTAAGCCCTTTTGTGTTAAGTGTTAATAAACGTGTTGCCTCCAGTGCTGTGAATGAGTCTCCATTCAACCCGCCACACCTACAGCTCGAACCGGCTGACCTCTGGATTGCAAGTCCGGTGTGATGACAATTGCACCCATGGTGGCATTTGTCCGCCCCATAAAATGCACTTCAATTCCCAAAATTAACAACACATGTCCATAAACAGCACGTAAACTTATATAAAAAAAATCAGGATCCTAAACGAATCTGAGGTTAAAAAAACAGCCCATTTAGACAAAACGCCCAGCCTTATATGTGCCAAGAGAGAAGTCCACCACTAACCCATCGGGGCATAAGAGCAACCCCACTCACTGCACACCAAATGCAAGTGTTGTGGGGGGGGGGAAGGTTTATCCGAAAAAACGGCTTAAAATATAAGCAGAGAGCTCTCCCTTAATCGATTATTCCTTTATTCAATCCAGCTGTTTCTCCAATTACCCCACTCCCTGGAGAGTCGCCACACCGCCCCAGCAATTATCCTGGGTGTGGGTTGCAGCATACCCCAGCAAACCGGCTCGCCCCTCCAATCACACACATAGCAACCCAACCACCAGCCACTTCCACAGGTGTGGCCACAGGTCACAAAGCGAGGCAAGGAACCCCTGAACAGCCCAGCGATCACCATAAACCAGGGCCGTATGAGGCCCGCGAAATCATTTGATCTCTGGCCATGCCAAGGCAACCGCAGGTGGGACTCGAAATTCAATAAATCTAGGAGCAAACGTGGAAAAGCAGTTGCGAGTAGCAACATCGTCAATACCGGCTAACATCATCACACGCCTCGCCAAAGAGAAGCAGTTCCATCCGTCGCATTAGGGGTGAGTTAATTAAATATTTGACAAAATATAACGGGCTCATTTTTAAGTTGATAATTTTGTATGGCCCGCGAATGATGTTATAAATATCCAAATGGCCCTTGGCAGAAAAAAGCTTGCCCACCCCTGCCATAAACAGTCCTCCAGATTGCAGAAGCTGCTCCTTTGATAATTAACTCCACGCTACTGTGACGCGATTAAACGTCGTGCTTGGATGAACACAGTTGGCTGCGTACGGTGCTAAAGAAGTTCAACATACAAACCTACGTGCTTCGAGATACAATTCAATTTGCGACTCCTATAATGTCTCGTTTGTAGTGTCTTGTAAGCTCTGTCTCATTCGTTCTGCCATTCATTCCGTTTACCTCCAGGTCACATTTGAGGGCGTAAATTATTGATGCTTGGTACATGCCTACTGAAAATGACCAGAATTGTTAGTTTATACACTAAAACGAAACAGTGTTTATATAGTATGTGCCCTGATAAATTCTATAATACATGCCACTCATCCTAAGCTTACCTACCATTACAGTGCACTTTGATTTGGTACAGTATATTTTGACAGCATCAGGGTGCTCTCAATAGATTCACTGTTTGCTTGCTGTTGCCGCTATAAAACTAAAAGAAACATTTACAACGTCATTAAATCACCGTTTTTTACTTTGTCCCAAACTAGCAGACTCAGCCACCGGAAGGCCTCCTGCACAATTCTTGGTCTCAAATGAAAGCTGTGTGCCTCTTCTCAGAACTAGCAACATTCTAAATGCATGACCTCTGTTAGTTTGCTTTAAATCTTTATTTTAAGAAGCCTGTTGACATTGTCTGACCTAAAAAGGAGGGCGCATACATTGGTGGATGTCTAGTTATTTCCGCACGTTTATTGAGCATACGCTGTCAAGTCACTCGTAATGTCCAGGTGTGTGGGGGGGGGGGGATGCAGACAATAGGTGCCAGGGTCAATTGCTGAACGCTAAACCCTCAGAAATCCGCCTGCCGCCTACGAGTTCACGCAACTCGACATTTATGGCATCATGAGCATGTACGTGACGATGTCACGCGCGCATTACACCGCGCGCGCTCCACAGTGAACATTAAAGAGGTTTCAAAACATAATCCTGTCTCGCATTCATTTACTTATAGGGTTATTAGGTTTCGGTGGCAACGCGCCAATCTCAACGGATGGGGTAAATATTTGCGGGCGACACCTCCTTGCGCCTGTCTGTCCAAGGTACTTTGTTCTCTGCCTCTTGAGAAAATCTCTTGAGATTTCACCCAGCTTGTTGCCCCAGCATCGCGCGGCGCTTTCAGATGCGCCTCTGCGGCCGTCTGGAACGCTCTTCCGATATTTGGAAGCCTATAGGAGCTATGCACTTAACTACTTTCTTTAGAACTGATTTTCTTTGTGCTTAGTTTGTTGTCCTTCCCCCGCACCTCCGATTAGCACGGTTGGCTGCGTACTGTGCGAAAGCAGTTCAACGTGCATACAAAGGTGATTTACGTGGAGTAGGAAGTGGATGGTGGTGGTGCGACCATGGACGAAAAGGTTAGAGGTAACACACCCACATTTACATCCACACGTGTGGATTATCGGTGCTTTTGTGAGGTGGGCCAAAGTCTGTTTCCCCTTCAGTGCATGCAATAAGAGGACCGGCGCAGTGGAAACTGCCCGTGGTAATGCGGCATTAGAAATGCTTGTCCTGGTGCTGCCTGTCGTGGTAATCGTACTGTTGGTGATCACTAGTTTGCACTTGTTTTTCAGGCTGAATAGTCTATAAATATCGTGCGATGCATGTCTAGAGGTGTTACGGGAAGGTGACACGCGGTTGTAGGGCGGTGGCCACAAACACGTCCGCTACGGCGACCACCCTGGGGGGCTGTGGGGGACGCTGTGATCCCTCCCAGCCCCACCCCTCAGTGAGGGACAGTATAAAAGGTGGAACCCGGAGAGCTGAGAGTTCAGTTCGACTCAAGCAAGACGAAGAGCCAGTGAAGAAAGAAGATCGACTAGCTAGACCCTGGAACTCCTTTGGCCCGCTGTCCTTCTGAGGGCCGGGCTCGTGTGGCTGGTGATCGGGACCTGTGCCGAAGCTGGGCCAGGTCAGATAGCCTCCTGAGAGAGGACCAGGATAGAGGGAACCAGGGAGCTAGCGTGGGCTAAAGCTCGGGGAACATTCCCTCTATAGAGTACGGGTGAAGAGGCCGTTACCTCTTCAAGTATCAGATTCGCCACTGTAAATGAAGCGTCTGTAATAAATACGTGTTGCCTCAAGTGAACAGTCTCCGACGTCAATAAGGCCACTACACATGCATCAAGTTATTTATAAAAAAAATATACCAATATAACCATAGCACATTTACAATTTGGAGCCTACAACTAAATGTCAAATAGTAATTCAAAAGAAGATGTCATGAAAGAGTTGACTCACCGGCTTGCACATTTATCGTGAGGCGAGTTGTGGAAATGTCACCGTTTTCAATATCCTTCGCTTCTATCTGTTTGAAAAATGTAACGTAAAACATCAAAAAATATTATTAATTTGCATCCGTACGTGTGGAAAGCCAGACCTTGTGACGGATATGGTGTGAGTGGTCGATTTTCATTTCAAACTCGGCCGTATAAGCCATGGACGTGTCATCTTTTGAGTTGATTTTGTTTAAACGAATGTTGAAATGTACACTAGTGGAAACGTGAAGGAACGTCTGCAATGACCAGCTGATCTGGAAAAATTGGCTGTTATCTATGATCAGGAATATTGTAGGACCTATTGTCTAATGGGACCTTTTTTTGCCAGTATCAAAGTATGATGAAAAAAAATCAATAATAGGTTTTACCCTTTCTGGCAATAAAACAGGAGTTAAGATTTTCAGAACCAAATAGAAACCTTTAGCAAGGAATCAAACCTGCATTAACAACACGTGCTTGTGGTGAACATGCAAACAAACATGCTTTGATAATGTATGGGCATTGTCTTTGAAACTGATTGGCCTACACCAGGGACAGCCTTCTTCATGGCCTAGTCTCACCAGTGTCAGACCAGAGAACACCAAAATGCGGACAGTACAAGCACAATGCACGTATCACAGCATTGAGAGCTCAGGATGAGCAGCTATAACACGGGACTTTTCTCCATTATCAAAGTATGAAAAAGAATAATAGGTTTAACCACTTGATTCCTTACAAGATATTTCTATTTGGTGTTTGAACATCTTAACACCTGTTTCATTGCCAGAAAGGGTAAAACCTATTCTTATTTTTTCGTCCTATTTTCTAATATTTATCAAACGCAGTTCTTTGGTTTTCTTACAGTTCACGTGAATCAGAAATGATTCAATAATACAGAATATAAAGAAATACACAGACTACTTCTGGAATAATTGTTGGTTTTGATTGGTTTGGAGCAAAACTTATATAAATTGAATGACTAAAATGATAGTCAAATACTAAACCACAGAACAGTTACCAATACTGCTTCACAAAACTCAATTTCTGACCTGCCCCTACAGGACTTCTGTGAAAAATAGCTTCACAGCTCATCGGATTCCTCCGGTACGAATACAAATTTTGATTCTCATTTAGAATCAACATGCATTTTAGAGTATTTGGCTGAGATACAATTTCCACGTGATAAGCCACTTAGTTGAGCTATCATTTGTGGCCAGGTCGCTTCTGAAAACGAGCTATATAGCCCAGTGGCCCTTAGCTGGTAAAACAAAAATAGTTTAGTTTAAATTTCGATTTAAAGCTTTTGTGACTGCAGGGATTCATCTTCTTTGTTCTTTCGGTAAAGTCACGTAGAATGTTTTATTTTTATTATTTTATTTCCATTCTACGTGACTTTACCGAAAGAACCAAGAAGTTTAGTTTAAACCCCAAATAACATTCGTTCTCTCTGCACAGTGCGGACTGCGCCCCTTGGAGACTCTTGCAGGGATTATGTTCTGTGTGGAGTATTGATAGAAAACGTCACTGGCCTAGCATTTCACAAATGTATGTATCACAAACTGCATTGTGGAATCAGCATTGCTGTGTGCTGCGGTGCTGCTCGTATTCTTAAAGCTTCCCCATATTCATATTCTTAGTTTTTTCGGTAAAGTCACGTTGAAGAGAAACAACAAAATAACAAAATATATATAAAACAATAAAAAATTCTCACGACGTTTCGACCATAACTCAAACGGTCATCATCAGGTCTGTTGGTTTGCATAAATTTATTTTTAAACGAATTCTTTTCAAAACTAGCTTAGCTCCTATCTCAGAAAAAATCAGACTTATACGCACAGAACTAGATCAGTTAGACAAGACACTCTACAAATCACACTTATCATTGACGGCAATAATGTCCACATCGGATTGGGAACATGTAGACAATATGACTGCCTCTTCAGCTGCTACTATGTCGACCAAATGTAAGGAAAACCTGATTTCCAAATTTAACCTCCTCTTCAACAAAAGACCGGACCCACACACCAAAAAGTTAGACGTTAATAAAGTCGTAATTAATCGCAGTAACAGTTCAATTTCCGATGGTCTGAAATCCGTTTTAGCTAAAGGTCTAAACTTTGCAGTCACACCTAAACACATACCAGTTAATGATATAATTGCCCAAGTAGACGTTGCTCTCAGGGGCCTGGGTCACATCGCTGCAGACGTAGCAAGATCTGAAATCGCTGCAACCCTCAAAAACGCTAAGATGCCAGCTAGCAACCTCAGCAAAGATGAGCGTTTTGAATTATATAAATTAAAAAAGAGGAATGATATTGTAGTCCTCTCAGCTGACAAAGGCAATGCTACTGTCATCATGGATAAAATAGAATACAACAACAAAATTAAAGAATTACTCGACGATGGTAGTTATACAAAAATAAAAAGAGATCCCACCAACAGCCTCGTCACACAAACCAACAAAATAATTTCTGATTCAACCGCATTAATTGATCAATCTAAACAGTTTTCGTTGAAACCTTCTGCTGCCAGGCCACCAAGATTATACGGCTTACCAAAAATACATAAAGTTGATACACCTCTTCGTCCCATAGTCTCTACTATCAGCTCCCCCACCTACAAACTAGCTCGTTTTTTGTCTGAAATCCTGCGTCCTTTCACTGGAAAGACCACCTCTGCGGTACAAAATTCTACTCACCTGGTATCGACAATCAAGGGTATTTCCCTGTCCCCAGACGACCTGCTTGTCAGTTTTGATGTAGTTTCCTTATTCACCAAGGTTCCTGTACCTGACACCATTGCAATCATTGAAGACTTGGTTCATCAAGGACTAAACACTGAGGTACCCCCCCTGGTGAGACACTGTTTAACCAATACATACTTCACTTGGAATGGAACTTTCTACAAACAAACTGAGGGCACCCCAATGGGCTCCCCCCTCTCTCCAGTTATAGCTAACATTTTCATGGAGAAATTTGAGACTGACGCCATCCAGACTGCCACTCTGCACCCAACCTTATGGAAGAGGTACGTGGATGACACTTTTGTCATCTGGCCACATGGCCGGCCTGCTCTAGACCAATTCTTCGACCACATCAATTCCATACACCCAGCCATCAGATTTACCATGGAAGTCGAAATAGATGGCAAGATACCTTTTTTGGATGTCCTAATTAAAAAGAGACCTGATGGTTCAATGAGCCACTCTGTCTACAGGAAAGCTACCCATACGGATGCTTATCTGAAACCGGATTCCCACCACCATCCATCACAGAAGAATTCTCTCATCAAGACTCTGTATCATAGAGCCCAATGCATATCCGACCAGGAACACATAAGCAGTGAACTCAAGCACGTACACCAAGCTCTTAGGGCTAATGGTTACTCCGACTATACAATCCGCAAAGCTATCACTCAAACCATGAAGAAGAACCCTCTTGAGGAGCCTTTCAAAACCATCACTTTACCCTACATTGCTGGGATCACAAAAAAGATCTCCAAAATCTTGAATAAACACAAGATCCAGGTCCGTTTCAACACATTACATAAAATCCGTGATCTGGTTCCGTCTGTAAAAGATGTGATTCCGGACATACAATACCCTGGTGTCTACAAACTAAGTTGCCTCTGTGGTAGTAGTTACATTGGAGAAACCAAACGCCATGTCTCGGACCGCATTCGTGAACATAAAGCAGACCTTAAACACGGTAGGACCAACACCTCGGCCGTAGCAGATCATTGTTCTAATTCAGTAGGCTCACATGCCATTGACTTTTCCAAGACGGAGGTTCTTTGTAAGCCATCTGGCTTCCATGAGAGATTCGTTCATGAGGCTATCCACATATACAAGCACAGAGACAATTTCAACCGAGAAGATGGATTCTATCTTAGCAATCATTGGAAAGATTTGATAAACCATTTCAGTTCTTAATTGATTGTTCACGCTTACAGTGGCTTTCAGACAGCATACATTATAAAAAATTTCGTCTCCCCCCTCCTCTTTTCAAAAAATAGATGGACTAGTCCTGGGCAAACTGCCAAATCGCTGCGCGTGACGCCAACGTTTTTTATAAATAAATAAGCCGTTTAAAAATAAATTTATGCAAACCAACACACCTGATGATGACCGTTTGAGTTATGGTCGAAACGTCGTGAGAATTTTTTATTGTTTTATATATATTTTGTTATTTTGTTGTTTCTCTTCAACGTGACTTAAACGGTGTATTTATTTATTTATAAAAAACGTCAGCGCCACGCGCAGCGATTTGGCAGTTTATTTAGAAGGACGAGTCCATCTATGTACTGAAAAGAGGAGGGGGGAGACAAAAAATTAATGTATGCTGTCTGAAAGCCACTGTAAGCGTGAACAATCAATTAAGACCTGAAATGGTTAATCAAATCTTTCCAATGATTGCTAAGCCAGAATCCATCTTCTTGGTTGAAATTGTCTCTGTGCTTGTATATGTGGATAGCCTATACAAGCAGAAAAAATCAGACTTATACGCACCGAACTAGATCAGTTAGACAAGACACTCTACAAATCACACTTATCATTGACGGCAATAATGTCCACATCGGATTGGGAACATGTAGACAATATGACTGCCTCTTCAGCTGCTACTATGTCGACCAAATGTAAGGACAACCTGATTTCCAAATTTAACCTCCTCTTCAACAAAAGACCGGACCCACACACCAAAAAGTTAGACGTTAACAAAGTCGTAATTAATCGCAGTAACAGTTCTATTTCCGATGGTCTGAAATCCGTTTTAGCTAAAGGTCTAAACTTTGCAGTCACACCTAAACACATACCAGTTAATGATATAATTGACCAAGTAGACGTTGCTCTCAGGGGCCTGGGTCACATCGCTGCAGACGTAACAAGATCTGAAATCGCTGCAACCCTCAAAAACACTAAGATGCCAGCTAGCAACCTCAGCAAAGATGATCGTTTTGAATTATATAAATTAAAAAAGAGGGATATTGTAGTCCTCTCAGCTGACAAGGGCAATGCTACTGTCATCATGGATAAAATAGAATACAACAACAAAATTAAAGAATTACTCGACGATGGTAGTTATACAAAAATAAAAAGAGATCCCACCAACAGCCTCGTCACACAAACCAACAAAATAATTTCTGATTCAACCGCATTAATTGATCAATCTAAACAGTTTTCATTGAAACCTTCTGCTGCCAGGCCACCAAGATTATACGGCTTACCAAAAATACATAAAGTAGATACACCCCTTCGTCCCATCGTCTCTACTATCAACTCCCCCACCTACAAACTGGCTCGTTTTTTGTCTGAAATCTTGCGTCCTTTCACTGGAAAAACCACCTCTGCAGTACAAAATTCTACCCCAGACGACCTGCTTGTCAGTTTTGATGTAGTTTCCTTATTCACCAAGGTTCCTGTACCTGACACCATCGCAATCATTGAAGACTTGGTTCATCAAGGACTAAACACTGAGGTACCCCCCCTGGTGAGACTGTTTAACCAATACATACTTCACTTGGAATGGAACTTTCTACAAACAAACTGAGGGCACCCCAATGGGCTCCCCCCTATCTCTGGTTATAGCTAACATTTTCACGGAGAAATTTGAGACTGATGCCATCCAGACTGCCACTCTGCGCCCAACCTTATGGAAGAGGTACGTGGATGACACTTTTGTCATCTGGCCACATGGCCGGCCTGCTCTAGACCAATTCTTCGACCACATCAATTCCATACACCCAGCCATCAGATTTACCATGGAAGTCGAAAAAGATGGCAAGCTACCTTTTTTAGATGTCCTAATAAAAAAGAGACCCGATGGTTCAATGAGCCACTCTGTCTACAGGAAAGCTACCCATACGGATGCTTATCTGAAACCGGATTCCCACCACCATCCATCACAGAAGAATTCTCTCATCAAGACTCTGTACCATAGAGCCCAATGCATATCCGACCAGGAACACATAGGCAGTGAACTCAAGCACGTACACCAAGCTCTTAAGGCTAATGGTTACTCCGACTATACAATCCGCAAAACTATCACTCAAACCATGAAGAAGGACCCTCTTGAGGAGCCTTTCAAAACCATCACTTTACCCTACATTGCGGGGATCACAAATAAGATCTCCAAAATCTTGAATAAACACAAGATCCAGGTCCGTTTCAACACATTACATAAAATCCGTGATCTGGTTCCGTCTGTAAAAGATGTGATTCCGGACATACAGTACCCTGGTGTCTACAAACTAAGTTGCCTCTGTGGTAGTAGTTACATTGGAGAAACCAAACGCCATGTCTCAGACACATTCGTGAACACAAAGCAGACCTTAAACACGGTTGGACCAACACCTCGGCCGTGGCAGATCATTGTTATAATTCAGTAGGCTCACATGACATTGACTTTTCCAAGACAGAGGTTCTTTGTAAGCCATCTGGCTACCATGAGAGAATCGTTCATGAGGCTATCCACATATACAAACATAGAGACAATTTCAACCGAGAAGATGGATTCTGGCTTAGCAATCATTGGAAAGATTTGATTAACCATTTCAGGTCTTAATTGATTGTTCACGCTTACAGTGGCTTTCAGACAGCATACATTAATTTTTCGTCTCCCCCCTCCTCTTTTCAGAACATAGATGGACTCGTCCTTCTAAATAAACTGCCAAATCACTGCGCGTGGCGCTGACGTTTTTTTAAATAAATACACGGTTTAAAAATAAATAAATTAATGCGAACCGACACACCTGATGACAACCGTTTGTGTTATGGTCGAAACGTCGTGAGAATTTTTATTGTTTTATATATATATATTATTTTATTGTTTCCCTTCAACGTGACTTTACCGAAAGAGCTAAGAATATGAATTACTGCAGTCACGAAAGCTTTAAATCAAAATGTAACTTCCCATATAAATTACGAGTTTAGATGATGTAACTATATTTGGTTACCTGTGCATGTGCAAGCAACAAGCATTGAGCCTGGTTAGCAAGTTGGATAGGAGACTGCCTGGTAATACCAGGTGTTGGAGGCAATAGGCTGCAACGTGGTCAAGTAATGACAGTACAGCAATGGAATCTTGATACCGTCTGTGTGGAGATTTGAGTGCTTTCTCCTCACAAAGGTGGTTTTCTGAGAACTTTGGCTCCGCTCATATGCCTAACACTCTTTAATCGATATGCCGAAACGTGCCAAATGAAGGGTCATCTTGAAACATCACCCTAGGCCTCAGTGAGCCTTGCTTGAGTAAATGAAGCCTATTCTTTGTTCTTGATATGAATTATAACTAATTCAGTAACGTATCGACTTTCACAATGGGCGCAATCAAATGCTGGCTTATGTTGAGTGCAACTTAGTAAACAAAATGAAAGTATGATCACAAATAATGCTGGGAAAGGGTAGTTTTGATAATCGTAGTTGTGATAACGTTGGAAAGTTCTGCTTATGAGCAACTGTTCCTGGCCTGATCTAGATTTGAAGCTTTCGGTAAAGTTATACCTACGTGACTTTACCGAAAGAACCAAAGAGTATGTTCCTGGCCCAGTCTGCACTGGCTGATTGGTAATACATTTGACAAAGAAAAGTGGAGCTGGTCTAAGGAGGCGCTCGTGGGACTAGTCTAGCAGAGGAAGCTGAGGAAAACCTCCGCCTATGGCTAAAGGAAAGAGTATCAGTGCAAATACACTTGAACGCAAACACATTCTCCTGCGGAGGGAGCTGGTAGGAACGTTGGGTTGCTCGGTCAATGGCCAGGGTCAACGGCAGCACCACGTGGTGTATTCCGTAAATATGCCCGACTGTGAGGGCGGGCACAAGCCGGCGTGAGTAGGTAAACGTTGAGTTTTATAAGGGCACCACGGGGTGATCAGCCCCTCCCCACCCAGCCCCACCCCTCTCACCCCACCCAGCCCCTCCCCACCCTCCCCACCCTCCCCTCTCCACCCGGCCCCACCCCTCCCATTTTTGGATGCACGACGGACAGACGGACACAATAATCCCCTGTGGTCTGGTGTAACTAGGAGGTTCCTACCAATATAATGCAAAAAATATACTAGGAATATAATGATTAAGTGAATAACAATTATAAATGGATTCATCTTAATAGGAAGAACAAATCCTAAATTAATTACGAGACTAATAAAACAAACAAAAACTGATACAATGTAGAAATATATAACAGACATCATAAACAAGAAAATACAAACTAGATAACATTGCTTCGTGATGTAATGTCCACTGCTTCGTGACGTAATGTACGTGCGTACGCATTCACAATCACGGGCTGCTTCGTGACGTAATGTGTGTGCGCATTCACAATCACGGACTGCTTCGTGACGTAATGTGTGTGCGCATTCACAATCACGGACTGCTTCGTGACGTAATGTGTGTGCGCATTCACAATCACGGACTGCATCGTGACGTAATGTGTGTGCGCATTCACAATCACGGACTGCTTCGTGACGTAATGTGTGTGCGCATTCACAATCACGGACTGCTTCGTGACATAACGTGTGTGCGCATTCACAATCACGGACTGCTTCGTGACGTAACGTACGTCGCTCTTTACGGACTGCGTCGTGACGTAATGTAATGTGTGTACGCATTCCGTAGCCGCGGGTTGCCACCCCTTTAGTATATAAACAATATACTTATAATATACTTAGCAAATCTAGATTAATATACTTATTCACACACAAGATTTGGCAAGGGGGGGGGGTTCTTACGTCAAACATGTACTGCTGGCCTGCGTCGAGGTTGGAGCTGCGAACGAGGACATAGCCAGTCGGATTTATCTCGATGTGTTCCATGCCTGCTCCCACAATCGTGTATTCAACAATTGGATGTCCCTGAAGAAGGTAACATTGTGAGTTTTAATTTCATATCTCCAAGCCATTGTCATAGCACCCATCAGCTTACTCAACGTTTAGAATCGTAACACGGAAGCTCATGGGAACATGACAACATTTCGTGCGTCCCAAATTCAACAGATACCTCAAAACAGTTGTCAATAACACCGTGGCCTTAAAAGGAAGACAAATAGAAAAGGCGAAGTTTTAAGGAAATGGGCCAAAAATTTTGCTTTCTGCAAAGTCAACCGAACGATAACCATCATGGGACCTGCCTTGCCAGCATAAAAATAATAATCTAATAGATTTTCCTCTTTGTGGCAATAACACGCAGGTGTTTTAATGTTAAAACACCAAACAGAAACCTTTTTGCAAGCAATCGTGTCTGAATTAACCACACACACACATATACTTGTGATGAACATGCAAACAAAAAAACATGCTCTGGTAAAATTTCGATTTGAAGCATTTCGTGACTGCAAGGATTCATCTTCTTGTTTCTTTCGGTAAAGTCACCACGTAGAAGGGAAATAATACAATAATAAAAATAAAGAAAATGTTGTATGTTTATTATTTTATTATTTCCCTTCTACGTGACTTTACCGAAAGAACCAAGAAGATGCTCTGGTAATATGATGATGCATTGCCTTTGAAACTGATTGGTCCACACCAGAGACAGCTTTCTTCAGAGCCAAGCCTCAAACGGTGTTAGACCAGAGGACGTCAAAGGCGGCGACCAGCACAAAGACAAGGCCACTATCAGGGCATTCATAGCTCGGAGCGAGCAGCTACATCATGGGACCTCCCTTGCCAGTATCAAAACATGCACTGCATATGTTAACAGAGCACGTTTTTTCTGTTTGCATGTTCACCACAAGTTCTGTGTGTGTGGTTAATGCAGACACGATTCCTTACAAAAGGTTTCTGTTTGGTGTTTTAAGATCTTAACATCTGCTGTTTGATTGGCAGAAAGGGTAAAACCTTTTCTTATATTAATTATATCAGTTTCACACGTTAACGTTTTTCTCCTTGTATCCACAATTGTTTTGTGGACAGTAGGGAGGTTGCAAAGTACAGTATGTGAAAATAATAATTTGGAAAAACTTCCATTTATCTGATTTACAAAAATATTAAGAGTTCAGCAGCAAATGTATCCAGTTATTTGTAGTTTTTGTCAATGAGAGAAGTTTTGGTTTGGGATTTTAATGTAAAAAAAAAATACTCCCTTGGATGTTTGTTTGAATCTGTAATGACGAGAAAATCCCCACAGTAAACATAGTGTCAGACAGAAACAGAAATGTGCATGTGCACAGCCTCTCAGCCTTACGCTTTATGCGAAATAACCAGTTCAGAAGAAGTGCATTTTGGTAATTGTGTCCTTCTCGTCAAGGAGCATAAAGCATCACGAGAACGCCGGTGATCCTAGCAGCAGCTTTTGGCCAATCATCGAACAAAGAAGGTGATCACTGCATCGCGTGGCGCTTTCAGATGCGCTTCAGCACCCGTCTGGAACGCTCTTCCTTCCGATATTAGGAAGCCACTGGAGCTATGCACTTTTAAATCGAGATTGGAAACTTAATTTCTTTAAAACTGCTTTGTGTGTCTTCTTTGGTTCTTTCGGTAAAGTCACGTAGAATGAGAATAAAATAATAAATTGATAAAATAACACAATAATATTCTCACGGCGTTTCGGCCAATTAGCACTGTTGGCTACGTAGGGTGCGAAAGAAGTTAAAAAAATAAGATCCCTTCTGTTGTCTGGGATGTTGGTAGCAGCACGCGCCGGTGTAAGGTGCCACTCACAGTGGCGTAATCCGCATCGTTGACTTGCAGCTGTAGGGTGTTTGGGCTGTTGCACATCGTGGCAAAGACGACGTCGGCGTTGTTGGGAACATGGCCACAGTATTCCACTTCAGGGAACGCGGGGTGACTCTCATTTTTGGTGACCACTTTAATGGTGGCTGTGGTAGTTGTGAATTTTTGAAAGTCATCTTGATATGCCTGTGAAAAAACAAACTCTATTTGAATGCTTCATTTCGTTCGGACGGTTTACGGCACTTGCGCAACACACAAAAATGGATGCTAGTTCAATGTTATTAGATTATTTGACTTTTTTTTTATGGCAGACATTCTTTAAAAAAATTATATAGTGGTACTGTTTATATTTAGTCAGGTCAAAGTCTAGACTTCATGGTTACATAGTGGCGTTGCATAACCATTATCTATCTTATGAGATTGTTATATAACCAAAAATATCCCCCCCCCCAAATCTTTGTAAGCAGATTTAAATACGGTGAAACATTCCGCAAAAATCATGCCCCACGAGGAGGAATTCATGACTTATTTTGTGGAATGAATGTAAAACATGGTAAATGTAAGAACATAATGCCATATTTACACACCACAATCTGCAAATTAATTTCAGGTGTCTGAGTCTTGCTCGGCACTACTTCTTTCATGCGTATTTGTCCATTGCTTGCATCGATTTCAAAGAAATCATTTTCTAAAAACACAACATCACAAGGTTAGTATCCTAATATATAAACACCCAGATCTGTGATTCTGTCATTCTGTGACTAACGCGGCATGGATTGGTTGAAGTGCGTCACGTGACCGGGACCAAGCAGCCAACCAACGCTTGGCAGGGGCTATAGAGGGGCGGGTGAAAGTCCGCATCGAACCAAACCCCCAGCAAGGCCATCTACTTAACGGCGAGAAGAAATTCACACGAAATGTGGTTTTCAATGAAGTCTTCCAGATGTAAAATAATATAAGCTTTTAATGAAGAAATACAATGATCTAATTCTAAACATAATACAATTCAAAATATGTTTCATTTCAAAACTTCAAAACGGAGCATCGGGTGCTTGCGTGAATGTGTCGTTCGTGTGCAATTTTTTTCGTGACATTCCTGGCCGAAGAACGTAAATGGTTGTGAGGGGCGCCACAGGCGTCCCCGAACAATCCCTAGTATAGAGATAAGAGGCAATGCAGCGAGCTCACTTTTTCAACTTAATCAGAAACAGATATCAAAGTCGAACCATGCAGTGCTGGCACATACAAAAACTGAACAAATATCCCACGTACAGCCTTAACCAGACTCTTGGGCAAATTCTGTTAGCGAGCACCTCTGAAGGTTAGCAGGGTGGCAAGCACCACGCCCGGCTGCGTTTGTCTCCCAGGTGGCCAAGTTTACACACAACACCAAGCACTCATTTGAGGCCGAGCTGACCTAGGGGAGGCCCAGGACCGGTGCAGATAATCTTGACTGATGTTGGTCGTGAGCGGGAATCACTACACTACCGCTCCCCACCATTTGCACGTACAATGACATACGGACACACATTTTAGCAGTTCGTGCAAATCAAAAGCAAACGAAGCTAACTTAAGATGGCCAGACATCCAGTTTGGATTCGCACGGTGTTCAAATGTGATCACAGTTCAAAAGGCCCGATGAGGGCTTAACAGGAGGGGCGCGTTTCTGTTTTCTATTGATTTAGGACAGGGGGTCAGCAACTAGCGGCAACGGAGCCGCATGCGGTTGCTCTTTGGCTGCCCCATTGCGGGAAGCCGTTTATACACATTTGTTTTAAATCTTAAAACATAATTTAACGTCAAGATAATTTCTGAAATATGGCAGGGAATGGGTCACTATGGAATGTCTTGGCGACAACAGTAATGTACCACGGTCAAACTGTATCGTTAAATAATAACTAAGGGGCAAACAACTAAATAGACTTTTGATCACCTAATTTGTTTATACTGTTTGGTTCTTTCGGTAAAGTCACGTAGGTAGGAAAAAAATCACGACGTTTCGATCGCAACACAAGCATTCGTCATCAGGTAGAAAGATACAGCAGTAGAACCGCTGTATCTAAATACGTGATTTTACCGAAAGAACCAAAGAGTAAGGATTCCTGCAGTCACGAAAACTTCAAATCAACACTATTTTGTTTATTTAAGTCAGAATGCGTGTTTGCCATCTGCTGTATACCTGCTGTGTTTGTGTACAAGTAGCTCTGCGTATGATTCGGCTCTCGAACTAGTTTGGTCAGACAAAAATAAAAAAAAATATTTAAAAAATGGCTCTTCTGCTTCGAAAGTTTGCCGACCCCTGGTCTAGGAGACAGGGAGGAGATGGTGGATATGGCCCAGTGAGAGTTTGGTGTCTTACAAAGGGTCCAATTTCTACGTCATGTGCTTGGGAAGACTAAAAGTCAGGTGAGCACGTGGATGGGTTTGGGGAGCTTTGAGAAGTGAGAGATTCGAGGGGGGATATTTGCCATGTGACACTGCTGCCGGGTTTGGCTGTGGAGTAGTGAGGGAGACTGGCAAATATGGGGTTAAACACACCTGAGCATTTCTCGCGATAACAAAATATGGCAGAACCTGCATCATGATACACAGTTGTGCAACGTTTTTAAATGTCAACAAATATAGCTGACTTTGACTTCAGCGCTGTCAGAGTTATCTTTTACCGAGTCTACTGAATACTTCGGTAAATTACAGCACCACTACACCGAAGACAGCTCTTTCATGTGCAAATGTTTGAACGTTTTAACGGTCATGATACGCTTTATGAAATAAGTAACACAAGTGTAAAACGCGATGATTCATCTTTGTGGTCTGACTGTGCAATCCAAATTGGACGTGATGTTTCAGGACAGCACTTACCAGACAGAAGCGCGTACTTTATGATAGCGTTGATTCCCTTATCGCCATCTTCCGCACGGATTTGTGCAGGAGCAAAGACAATACTTTCCTAGATGTAAAGAGACCTCAGTGACTGTGAAAACTGTCAAGATACACTGTGGAGCATTCTAGAGTGGAATTGTATTTCTGCACTAAGTTGCCCACTGCCACGTATGCAGGGCAGCCATGACATCCCTTTGACCACTTTGCTTTGTCGCAGCTGGGAAACAGTTCAACACGCCGGTAATCTGATCTCAACACGGCAGATTACTATTTATTAGGGTCACCTCAAGGCTCCTGTTTACCAGGAATATGCCATTTAATCACCACTCGTGCTGAAGAATGCAATTCAAAGGAAAGGCACTTGAATACCTCAGGACACGTTTCAAATATATTTTTTTACAGGACTGGATGTTGTGGTAATATTAATTGATTTATGTGTATCTGCTGATATTGTCTCCCATGTGTTTATGATTGTTTTTCCATTGTCACCTTCGTACATTGTATCGTTTCTCAGCCATGACACTGGAAAGTGGCCAAAACATTATATTGCCATTGTTAATATTAAGGGGAAGTGCTTGCATTGAAACTAAAGCTGTAAATCACGCAGTTGTACATTTAATTCATAGACTTCGCCAAACACAATGTCTTATAGAATATGCAATGTGCACATATAGCCAATTAAAATAACCTCACTTTCCATTGTAACCGGTAAATGTAATTGCATGTTGGGAGCGTTAAGGGCCAACTCACCTCCATCACATTCTCTCTGACCGTTGCTGAGTACTTTGCGTTCACGCACAGCTGTTTGTCAGCCACTGTGGAGCAGACCTTCGGCTGGAAGATTGGTGGCTGATCATCTTGGTCTATCACGGAGACGGTGACTGTGGCGGTGCTCGTCCTATTCGTGTAGCCTGTGGCGTTTCTACTCGGGTTGGAGTCCTGAAACGAAGGAGCCCAATTTGTGAAGGTTCATACGAAGGGTCTGTAAACTCGTTTGATAACACGCCGTGTTCAGTTGCTGTCACTTCAAGCCGGCGTCTTGACGTTCCATTGCGTGTGATTTAGTTGTACGGTGTTTTGCGTTTGACCAAATGTCCCGAGTGAAATTAACATAATTGTTGTTTTCAATATTTCTCGAAGACAATATGAACACGTCACAGTTAATGAAGGTTTTTTTCTTGGGTCAGAGCACATCAATATAAATGCGTCGTTAACTCACCACCACCCGACACAGTCAATTAGCGAGGCTTGTCACGTTAAGAAAACGTGCCAATGAGTTACTAGTACAACACACCGGGTGTGTTGGAGAGTAAACCCAAATTCAAGTACTGTGATGTTTCGCTGGTGATTCTAACCATCATCACAGTTGTAGACACTCTTCAGTCAGACAACATTGAGCAGTTAATTAAGAACGGTTCCACATAGCTGTCTATCAACAGCACATATTGTAGTTCATCCCCACAATAATTATGTTCTTTTGTTCCAAAGTTATAACAATGTAACTGACTCTAAGAGTTAAAGAAATCCACACAGGCACACTCCTGATTCTAATACCGAGCTGCTTTAACATGGAATGTTGTCCCAGTCACACTACAATATGGCAGCGATAATTAAGGCACACTCCCACACCATGTGTAAATGTTACAGCTCGAGTACATTCTGAATGGATTGGCAGTGTAATAGATATAATTATTTATGCATTTATTACGTGTTTGATTGGGTATGACTCTCAATGTGTGAAAGTGTACTGTATAAGTTAGAGATTCCTGTACGTGTTTGTGACGTGACAACTGATACCCTGGACACCCTTGCAAACGAGATGTTCCATCTTCAGGCTTTTTTCCTGCTGAAATATTTTAGCAAGGAATACATCTATATAAACAAAGGAGGATGTGTGTGTGTCTGTATATTCGCTTGCCAGGATGCATTCACACCGTTTTGAAGATAGAGAGACGTGAATCCTTTGCAGGGTGAACCAGGAGTTTTACCTTCAGGTCTTAGGCTAGTTTAACCACACCCCCCTCCCCTCCGGCCGCCCAACTAGGTTTCTAAATGGGTGTTCGCGGGCACCTAAAAATGTGTGGACAACGGATTGGGGGTTCCAGAACCCAGTTGGGAACGTTTGATTTTGGTCAGCGACCTCTCGTGTTACTTGGTCAAAACCGTGGGGTCTGCAGGGCCCCCCTCTGTGGGTTGGGAAACTTTTCGGTTGCAACCTTCGCAGGGTGGTCAAGGATGACCACCTTCAGGTCTTAGGGCAGGTCAGGGTCTGCTCTGGATTCAGGGGGTGGATCGGAGGGGTTGTTTTTTGTCGCGCCAACTAAACAAAGTAGCCCAAGGAGTCCAGATATATATAAAAAAAAAAGCTTCACGAGGGCAAAGTTGTTCGGGCATCCTTGGTTTCATAAAAAAAGTGGTGTCTGATTTCACGTCAGGATCCAGGGAGGGGATTGGGGGAGGTTCTTTGCCCTGCCCACAAAGTACCAAACGAGTCCAGATATTCAGAAACTTTATACAAACAGTGGTTTGGCACCCTTGATTTCATGTAAAAAGTGCTCTCCATTTTCCGCTTGGTGGTCTCTGTGGTCCCAGAGAAGGACTGCAAGGCCAAATCTGTGGGTTTTGAAGCTGAAATTTTTGGGGGTGGTCAGGGACAACTATAGTAGGGTCACCGTGCTGTTAGCCCGCACCCCAGACATCCCCGGAAGGTCCCTGGATGCAACAATGGTTATTCAATGCCGCACAATGCTCGCAACTGATTCAAGGGAGTAAAACTTGCTATGCATTGTCTCAGTGTGGTTGCATTCCCTCCAGGGTAATCAGGAGGAACATACAGTCTCAATGATGATGATCCATAAGGCATTACCAACTACAGAACAGAACTAACTGCACACAAGTTGATGCATTCCACAATGAGAGAACTGCGTAACAGAAATAACTGCATAATAGAAATAACTGCACACAAGTTTACGTGGTAAACAACAAACCATACCAACTATGGGTATATGTTTGGATTAATATACCCCACAAGCAACCACAAAAACTTCCCCATGCTCCGAAAGTCCTCCAGTCCTCTTCATGACTAAACAATACTGACAGAAAAACCTTGGTCCTTTTTCAAGAAGCAATTCAACAAACAATATGGGTCCCAAAACACATCCCAAATTGGGGCCTAGCTCCTCCTCACAGGAAAGAAGGAGGCAGGAATCGAGTTGAAGAAAGACGTCTCTGACTTGAAAGCTCAAAAAACTAGAGACGCAACAACCAGAGCCACTGAAACCCCATCAACTAGGCAGTCACGTCTGGATGCTGAGAGAGCAAGAGCTTCAACGTATAGAGCATCTGAGATGCCTCGACTTCCAGGGCAGCTGACACGCATGAAGTCACACAAACGCGTCAAAATTCTGACAGGACAAGAGCCTCCACGTATAGGACAGCTGAGACACCTGAAGCCAGAGAGACACGTCTGATATGTACGCAAAAAGTAAAAGCGAGAGACTTCTATATTTCAAACTTTACCAGAACAAACTTAGGTTGGAGATTTATGAACACTTGAGAGATGCCATTGCCAATTATAGAAATCCAGACAACATTGGACAACCCATCTTCCTTTTCTAGTGGTCCCAGATACATGTAAGAGAGGACCCAAGATGCCACAACATATGTCAGAAACTATGCCATTCCAGATCTGTTCATCATCTTCACATGCAATCCAAATTGCCCTGAAATAAAATCAGAGTTCCTGCCTGGTCAAAAGACAGAAGATAGAAATGAACTAGAGGACAGAGTTTTCCATCAAAATGTCATAATCCTCATGAAACTCCTGAAACATAACAAAGCTAAAGTCTTTGGTGAAGTGCGCTTGCTATGTGTACTCGATTGAGTGGCAAAAAAGGGGACTGCCTCATGCACGCATTTTTCCTTAGCTCAAGAAACAGATCAGATCAAACCAGATTGACTCATGCATAAGTGCCGAGCTTTAAAATGCAAATGAGGATCTAGCACTTTTCCCAGATTGGGTTCAAACATATGCTGCATGGTCCATGTGGGACTTTGAACTGTGCCTCATCATGCATGAAAGATGCCAAATGTGGCTGTGTGAAAGAGCCATCCTTGCACATAAAAATGATACAGTAAACATTATTAATGACAATATCCTCAAGCATCTACCTGATCAAGAACGGACATACATGTCGATTGACAATGTTCTTGAAACGGACCAGGCAGTCCATTATCCCACAGAGTTCCTCAATGCATTGGCAGCCACCATGAATGCCACCTCACAAACGAGTCCTAGAGAAAGGTTCCCCTATCATGCTGCTAAGGAATCTGGATCCTCCAAAGTGCTGCAGCGGGACTCGGCTGTGTGTGAAAAATCGACTTCCTCGTGTCATTGAGGAAACTAATTACAGAGTGTGCCAAAAAAGACAATGTCATTATTCCTCGCCTACCACTGATTCCAAATGATGTTTCTTATGAGTTCAAACGACTCCAGTTTCCTGTCGGGCTGTCCTTGTTAATGTCCATTAACAAGGCACAAGGACAGTCGCTGCAGGTTGCACGAGTTGGCCTGCTAACTTTAGGTTTCTCCCATGGGCAGTTACGCAGCACGCTCCAGGGTTGGTGCAAGCAGGAACCTTTTCATACTTGCGCCCAATGGAAAGACCACAAATGCGGTTTACCCACAGGCCCTGCATTAACGTCAAATACATTTGAATGGCCAGATAATACATTTTAGAAAATAACTTCATGCAATGTCTTAAACTTAATCATATTTCCTTTCCTCAATTTAGCTTCTGCCCCTTAATGTTGGCACCCACTAATTTATTCCGTTCAACGCCAGGTACCTCAGCTAAGAAATAAATACACATTCAATCTTAATTAAATAAGTTTTGTGAAAACATAAAATGTACTGAACTTTTCGGGATACATTTAATTCAAGGGACTTTCTTACCGTAGCTTTCACAATGAGTTCAATGGTCGTCAGATTACGTGCGTACAGATCTTCATACTTCAATGTTTTATTGAGGGAAATTTCTCCCTTGAAGAGCAATGGAACCTCGAAATATTCGACACCAGGCTGTGGAATGAAAGACAGTGAACATGATCAGATATGAACTGCAAACAGATAACGCCAATCCGACCTCTGAAGTTAAACCCTTGTTTCCAAACACACCCTGTTGCTTCAACAGTCCTCAGCTGGACTAAGTGCTCCAAAAGTGCTTGATGGCATTTGTGGTGCCACTACCACGGAGAAACTCCGCAAATGCCGCACTCCCCTCCCGGCCCCCACACTAAACACACACACAGTGCACCCACGTAGTGTCCTGATGGGGGGTTGCCTGACACATCGGGTTTTAATCCGAAGGGCCCCTAGAGGGAGAGTCCCACGGTTTCCCGGTGCCAGGAGATTGGCCGACCCTCACAGGACAGGTCACACTGCGGTGCCCCTAAATTGGCTGAAGATTTGTATGGGCGCAGAACGAAAAGATTCACTGGGCCAACCGCATTGAGTTACTCACGACACTGGGAGAGGCGGAGGGTGGAATATTAGGCCAGAAGGGCAGCAGCAGACCCCGCGGCCCTCCATGTAGACAGCGCAGGTGAGCACGCGATTGGCTGCGCAGTACAATGCCACCCTGGGCCTTTGAAGTGAGGGGAGTAGGCCACGGTAGAGACGGTGGAGAGGGACGATGACGGTGAGCACGGGTAAGCGCCCGATTGGCCGCGCGGTATGACGTCACCCTGGGCCTTTGAAGTGTAGAGAATAAAGATAGGTGCCCCGGGACGGTGAAGGGAGTTGTCTTCAACCTCCAGGCGATCCAGACCCCTCCCCTGCTGTCCTGCCTCCTTGAGCCGCTCGCAGCATCCGTGTGATGCCCGCGAGTGCTGCTACGAGGCAGTGATAAGCGAGGGTTTCACTCGTCCTTCTCCTTCCGACTCTGACAGCGTCCGTGCAACGCCGTGAGTACAGCTACGAGGTACGTGGTAGAACGTTTGAGGAACTGGGTTTATAGGCAGAGTTACACTAGGCTCTCTTTGCAAAATATTCCTCCTCTGGGTAATGCGTATTGGCGCCATTAATAAACTTTAGCACAGAGGATCCGTGTGGTGTGATTTCTGTGCGGGTGGGGACAGCGTAGGTGTGGTGCGAGTACGTGCGGGTGTGTGAGGCAGCGCGGGTAGTAATTCATTAACGGCTCCCATCATGTTCGTGCAGCCGCGTGATTAATAGGGCGAGGGAGGGGTGAGTTAAAGCCGCCCGCGTGCGTGTTTGCACAGTGCGTTTTACGCAGTGTGTTCACGAGCGCACGTAGCCACCTCCGCATTCGTGGTGGTGTACGTGGGGAGTGTGTGGGATAACCCCAGGCGGTGGGGAGCCAGCCACTAGCCATGTCCCACAGAGAGGACGCTGGTGCGGGGAGGCCGACGACGAGAAGGGGCAGCTCGACGAGAAGGGGCGGAGGAGGAGGGGGGAGAGGAGGAGGGCGGCATCAGCCCCCACACGTTCCCCTTGATTAATGTATGCGCGTTTCTGCTAATTCCGTTCCCCAGTCCACGTGCTAGTCCACACATTGGTAGTAGAGCAGCTGCCACAACGATGCCGTTTCGGATTCCCCCCAATGAGTTGAGCGATGCCAATTTTAGACACGTGGGGCCAATGTGATCACCACAGCAAATGCATTTTCCGTAATACCTCTTGATTTACGTCTCCCCCCTTTTTTTACATCGTTTTGCAAAAACGCCGTCGCTTTACTAACAATAACTAGCCTAAAGCCTGTCCAAGGACGGGTTGATTGCAGTAAATCTGAAGTATTTAATTACAACTATAATAAGCCAAGAATGTGTGTCCCGCACGTGACGTCACTTCACATAAGCCCCCCACGCGTGACGTCACTCCACATGAGGCCCACCCCCCTTAATTCATATTCATGAGTGGGTGGATTTTTACACTAACGCAGAGGAAGGTCGAGCTGAAATAAATAATCTATTCCACAAAGTCGCTTCAAATGACATTTCTTTCCAGAAAGTGACGGTAAAAAGTAAATCTACGCAGCACAGTGCTACATCCGTGTGTGACGTCACTGCAAAAGAGCCCCCCCCTCCCTCTTCATTAATATTCATGCCCGCGTGGAAATTTACACGAACGCACAAAAAGGTAGCGCACTACACATGTCGCACCCACCCCCTCATTAATAATCATGAGCGGGTGACGTCACTCCACATGCCGCACCCCTCACCAATAACCATTAGCGGGTGACGTCACTCCACATGGGGCAACCCCCCGCCCCCCCTCATTAATAATGAGCTGAACAATTTTTCTGTTGAATATTTCAAATTTACTGCAATATACACCCGTCCTTGGACGGGCAAAAAAAGCTCGTCTGAAATCATGTTCCGCTCATGATTATTGAGGTGGTGCTCTATATGGTGTGACGTCACCAGCTCATGATTATTAATTAGGGAGGGGTGCTCCAGGTGGAATGACATCACCCGCTCATTATTGAGGGGGGTGCACCATGTGGGGTGACGTCACCCATGAGGGGGGCGGGGGGGGCATGTGGAGTGACGTCAACCACTCATGATTATTAATGAGAGGGTGGTGCTCCATGCGGAGTGACGTGACCCGCTCATGATCATTAATGAGCGCGTTGCGGCGTTAGCGTGACATCAGGGTTCCGGCTTTTTACATATTAAAGAAAATATACCACGACCCGATTTATGTCGCCTCAGTCCACACTTTACGTCGCTCGCAGCATCATCCGTCCGCTCTCGTGTCCGTCGCCTCTCGGCCTTCGCCTCCGGAATCAGAATCTTAATTTAAGCTGTAGCAATCCGACGAGCTATGAAGCTACCCTGTGAATTGCTTTGGCTTACGCCGTTTGGATGTCCGTCGCGTCGCTCAGGAATGCATCCCCGGCGTAAAACCGGGGTATTGCTCTACAGTACTTTAAATCCCGTGCTATCAACACATCGTTTCATGAAATGAAGTGCTACATCGGGTCTGACAGTGGAATGTTCAAACGTAAACTCATCGTTTGACACCTAAGTGATCGCTTCCACATTGTCGAACTACGGTATATATATATATTTTCTATTAAAACAAGTACGTAGACCATTGCAGTAATTTACATTGAAAGTAATTACAGAATACAGAGTGCATTTGTAAAGTATACTCTTTGGTTCTTTCGGTAAAAGTCACGTAGGAATAAAATAAAATAAATCACGACGTTTCGGGCGCGACACAAGCGCCCGTCACGTGACTTTACCGAAGGAACCAAAGAGTATGGATTCCTGCAGTCACGAAAGCTTAAAATCAAAGTGGAACCGCCAACTCTGGGCACATGGTCGGGGCATGCATGCACATTGACATGGCTGAGTAGATTTGAAAAAATAATAAGAGGCAATGTATGTTATGTTGAACTTCTTTCGCACCGTACGTAGCTAACCGTGCGTATCGGTGGTGCAACAGATGGCTTACTTAGCAGGGTAGAGATGAGTATTGTTAAGGTGCAGACGAAGACAATTTTTGTTACAGAGGAAGAGAGAAGTGGTCAGTCATCGGCAGAGGAGACAGGACATTCTTGAGACTGGACTATGAGCAAGGAAAGGGTTTCTACAATTCGTAGGCTGGCAGGAGGGAATTGTATACAACAGGAACAGCCGAGGAGTGACCTGAGACTGAATGGAAGTTGACTGGAGGTTTTGACAAGAGGCTTTTAGGTTAAACTATAAACTAAACTTATTTTCATCTAGATTTGAAGTTTTCGTGGCTGCAGGGATCCATACTCTTTGGTTCTTTCGGTAAAGTCACGTAGGTATAAAACAAAATAAATTAAAGCAGCGCTCCACTCCCCCTACCCCACACCCCGCCTCTCTATCTCTCCTCCCTGGCTCCTCCCCCCTCTCTTACCTATATAGCCTCTTGTCACGGCAGCCCTTTTGCCCACCTCAGAAATTGTTTCTTGCTGTGGTTGTCCCACCTGATGACGGACGCTTGTGTTGCGCCCGAAACGTCGTGATTTAATTTATTTTATACCTACGTGACTTTACCAAATGAACCAAAGAGTAAACTTATTTTTTTAACCAGGTAAGGCTCACTGAGCTATATATATTTATTTCAGAAGCGACCTGCCCACAAATGATTGCTCAATGAAGTGGCTTATCACGTGGACATTTATAGCAGCCATATACTGTAAACGCGTGATGTTGATTCTAAATGTGAAGAGGAAACCCGGAGGACCTGGAGAATAATCCACAAGACCACGGGGAGAACATGCCAACTCCAAATATATAGGGGTCAGGGTTCGGGATCGAACCCACGGCCTGCATACCAGGCGAAGGAGATAACATCTCACCACCGTGGCACCTGAGGTTACTGGAATGGAGACTAGGTGATGGGGAGTGGTAGAGTGAGATGAAATATAGGTGGGTAGGGGTGAGCCCATAGATTATGTTATCACTGACATGATCCAATGTATAGGCTTCCCTCGCTTTACATGGTAGATGCGTTTCAAAAACAAGGCGCACAAAGTGAAATGGCACAGTCACCTACAATGCATTGCACGAGATGGAGCATAGAGTACATATAATATTGTCCCACGTCCGACCGAGTGAATTCAAACCGCATATAGCTCATTTCGGGTAGAAATATCACACAAACAGAACCCACATAAAACGAGGGAAACCTGCATTGGAATGATTGTGGTCTTGTAAAATGAAGTCTGGTGGTGGCATTCTGGATGATTTGGTGTTGCAGGTTGAGGGGTTCAATGTTCTGTTGTCTGCAACACAGAGTTCTGTACTACAAGTGTCATACATTTCAACTTTGAACGTTTAATGTATTATTGCCTTATCGCCTTACCACTGATTCATCCAAGGTGTATGTGATTTGTCCTCTATCCTTGTCCGTTGCTGGTACAGGAAACGTCGTTGACACTGAAGAAAACTATAAGAATATGGTGTGAGAGGTTTCACTCATATTATGATATTGGTAATTTCAGCCAGGTGTATCGTGCCTGATAGGTTTTACACAGTTTTTACTTTAAACTATTCTCAACCAGGTTAACACGTAAAGCTCTCGCGACTAATATTATTAATAATGAAGGTTTTTTTGGGTTAGATCGCGTAAGTATGAATGTGTCGTAACCCTCCACCACCCGACACAGCCAGTAAGGGTTGTCACGTAAACAAAACGTTCCAATTAGTTACTAGTATAGTGTCATGTATAATATAGTGTATAGTGTAGTGTATAGTGTAGTGTAGTATGCTACTTCAGCCCATCGGTGTGTTGGAGAGTAAATCCACAACATTTACAATTTGAGTACGACGTTTCTCTGGTAATTACATCCAGCACAATTCTAGCAAATTTATGCTTTGTCTCAATTCAGGGTTCTCGGTCCAGTTTTGTAAACGATGGGATTTTGAGGTGACCCCAGAGGATGACAAATAGCTATTAATAACGAAAATAGATTAAATATCAAAATAAAATGTTTACAATTAAAATGTTTCAATGCCAGTGTTAAAGTAAATAAACTAACCCAATGTGTCCTGACTTTTGGACCACCCTGTATATAAAAGTGTAACAATTTAGCGTTGTCTAAGAATTAGAGATATTATTGTAATTTTAGGTTTACCAATATATAATACTAGCAGTGGTATCCGTTCTTCGCACGGAAATTTATAGTTTAGTCCTAGTTTTAAGTTTATTCAATGAACGAATATAGATTATATTGTCGCGTTCACTTAGAAATTCCAGACAGCAGAAGCTGTGCAAATTTCATGACGTCAGAGCTCAGCGGTAGAGAGGTCTTACTGCGGGTTGACGTCACACACTTCATGGTCATCCCCCCCCCCCAAAAAAAAAATACAAACGTCTATTTTTATACTTTTTACATTGTGTACAGTATGGGAGCTACCCGCATGCCAAATTTCAAGTTTGTAGCATGTTGGGAAGTATGCTAAACATTTCGAACACACATATACACAAATTTCCATTATATAGCGATAACTATTCCCTGATTATAAATACAGATACTGAACCATGACGGGCTCAACTTGTGACAATGAGCTGTGCATCTTTGTGAAATAGAGAATGTGTTTTTGGGAAATGGCTCTTTTCAAATTAATTTTGCAAAGTATCTCAATTAACACAGCTGCTCTCATTGGGCACACATTTTTTAAACTTTTTTTTTACATTTAATGAGTATTTTCTGATCAAAGAGTGCGACTACGTCTTGTACTTACCTCGGATATATTCCATTTGTAAGGGGTACCTTGAAATTCTGGGTCAAATTCATTGACATCGAGAATATTTACTGCAATAGTAGCCTGAAAGTGTCAAAGTAGGCAATTAGAATGTTTAAGGAAACAAGATTGATCAACAATAACTTGTATAACAACAAATGATTGTTACATTTTTCTTTAAAAAAAAAATTTTCTCAACAGCTAAAGTAGGTTACACTGTTTGAAGACACACTCCACATATTCTGATTTGAATAATTATTTTCTGAGCTCGCAGTTTTGTAAGAGAGCAAAATGTAACGATCAATATACAGTAAAGAAAAAGGTAGAAAACATAAAGGGAAAGTGATTAAATTTGGCTTTATTGAAGCTTCAAGATGGGCATAATACATATATGAAACTTCAAGGTATCCTGACCACAATTTTGAACATCTTATTTGTGCTCAGAATACTAGAATGCATTCATCAATAACACTGCCTTAATAGCAAACATATCTCAAGAAGGGCCATTGCCCAAAACGTCACCTGTTATATATTGAAAATATTAAGGCCACAGTGTTTTGGGCAAATGTGTTGAGTGTTTTGTTATTTGTGCTTATGCACCCCTACCAATGCAGTATCATCATATAATGTGTTATATTTTCTCAGTAATGTTGCTTTATACGCTATATACAAATTCAATGCCTATCAGTGTGCTCATTTTAAAGTGATTAATCTACGAGTATCAAGATAAAAAGGAAAATCCAGCCTTCTGCAGCCAGCCTCGTGATTGTGGAATCTCCTTCCTCGATCCATGAGGGATTCCGAGTCTGTTTCACTTTTTAAATCGTGTCTTAAAACTCACCTGTTTGTACAGGCTTTCCCCGTAACTTAAAATTTGAAAGCCTATTTTGTCGCCTGATTGGATTGCTCTGTAATGATTATTATTCACTCCAATCATAGTTTTTCACATCATTGGAATTTAGAGTGTAGTCATTGATATTGTTATTATCAGCTTTCTACTTCACTTAAATATTATCTATACTTGTCACATTTCAAAATGAAAGGATCTTCATAAAATAGTTGCCGACCATTTGGTCTTAGGTCTTCTCCTTGGTCGCCAACCTCATTCCAAATCTTATCTCGGTCACCAGCTCCCATCCATCCTACACAAATGTCCTAACCCAGCAAAAACTTATTTGCCTGATTATATCTATAATACTTAACTGCCATGTTCCCTTCATTACATATACTGTCTTGCCAATTATTTCCTAGCATCTGTGTCATAAATATATCCTAAAATGCCCACAAGTCTTTTTTGAGATACTTCATTCAGGTCTAGCCCAAGCACTCCTGCCTTAAACACCCCATTCTTTACACCGACTCATCTCCTCTCCCCTCTTCCAAAGTGGTTTCCACAGCCCATTAAAAACCTGCGCCCAAGCCACTGATGTCAACCATGGGTAGGAATTGAACTCAGGTCACGCTATTCATAGCGCTGTGCGCTAACCACTAATCCACCGCGTTCTACACTGCACACCAATGACATTACTACAGCTCTTGTGCCTGGCTAGGTGCACTATGAGCAGTGCCGGATTATCCTCGCAGAAAAAGTAACATATGCTACAGGCCCCGCACTTTCAAGGGACCATGCGCTATTTGCTTTCAAGCTATCAATTCTGGTTCAGTGATTCTGCACTTGCTCTATTACTATAGTACTATACCGCCTTCGACTTTTATGAACGACTGGGTGTTTAAGGTTAGCGATTTGTCGTATTATCTGGCTGTATAGCAAATGAAAAAATACAATTACTTTACTGTGCAAGTAAAGTAATTGTATTTTTTACAGACCCCGCACAAGCTTAGTCCGGCACTGACTATGAGGCTACGTAAAGTGAGACCACGCTGGCAGGTCACAGGATAGGCCCAAGTGTTACAAGTCAATTGACTGATATGACAGCAGATGCAAACACTGCATTCCCGGGTATGTCATCTTACTCTGCTTTAGTGGATCGACACTTTAGTCGTTGTGAGTGTCCCTGCTCTGCCCTTCCTGTTACTGGAGGGTGGCTGCCTCTAACTGGCCTGTAGCATTTTTCATGAGCCCTCTCTCCAGAAGGTGATCTTGACACCACTGGCACCTATCATTGGTAAGTCAACCCAGCTCCAAATCCGTGCAGCTTTAATGTTGCCCCCCATTAGTCGGTCAAACAAAAGGTGCTTTGCAATGTAGTGACTGGGCATGTGGTGCGCTTGATTCAGCACTGCAGACATTACAACTGTGATCAATACATATATTGTTCATCTGTGATGTAGGTATGTAAAATATCTTACCCGATTTTCGACATCATTAAATTTGCATGTCAACGCGAGAATAACAGTCTCTCCCAGTGTCTGTTATAATTGTACAAAAAAAGAAATAGCAGTTTAATGCAACCGATGTATTAAATTAAACATGTAATTTGAAATAATATTAATTGTCAGGTGGCTGGGTGCCTCCAATGTCACAGTCTTCTTCTTCAGCTCAGCTTGCACCACTTAAATTCAGGAGGATTTGAAGCCAGCAAGCCACGTGTGATTAACCTGAGTTCTGAAATGCAGTACGTTAATAGTTACCAATGATTACATTATAAACCATTAATCCTCTGTGAGTTGGGTGGGCGGGTTTCGTTAAGCCTGTAAGCTGCTATGTACCGCAATGTTACTCCAAAAATCCTTTTTCAAACTTTGCATATTTTCATGAGATTTTAGCCGTGCCACTCCAATAATCTACGAAAATTAGTTTGCCTTGTCGCGCTAAAAATAGAAATAATTCCGAAGTTAGTGTCTCACCAATTTTAGGAGGAATTCGCCTCTTTAAACTGCGACTTTTTACGTGGATTATAGTTTTCAGCCGCCCTCCAAAACAAATAAAAAATCCGTAAACTTATTGAGGCTAGGGGTTTCCTCCCAGTGCATTATGGGAATTGCTGTGAATTGTGGGGTCACTGCTCCATTGGGGTCTTAGAATAAAAATTGTCTCCTATAATCCTGATATTTATCATGGATTAATGGAGCCACAAGTCAATGCTGTACTTCCCTTATAATTTGTAATTTATTTAGCGAGTTAATGGCAGAAATCCGTAGCACACCGCACAGGTGTGAATATGTGGAAAAGTTGTTGTGGATTTCCAGTCTAACCTCCATGGTGCGCCGCATATTATAGGATCCCGCGATATGGTTCACCCGTTTTGACGCAAATGTTTGGAGACCGGCAGTATTTGAAAGCTGTTTGGTGCATGTGCAATAACAGATTTTAAGTTGCAGTAATGTTTGTGACTGTGATTACCTCTCTGTCCAATGCTGTTTTATTAGCCACTTGCAGCTGTTTATCTCGCAATGTGAAAATATTATTTGGTATGATGGCTAAAACAATTTCTGTTATATTTCCTTCAACAGGTATGTTGAAAAATGCATAATTGTTTTCTGAATTTTCAGTGACTTCCGCATTAAATATAGATGAATTAGGTTGAAAGTTAAAATTGCAGGGAACTGATGGAGAAATACAAAAACAGCATAGAGTTAGCATCACGTAACAATGCATTTTACAACCGAGCAAGAATTTACAGAACACAGCAATGATAATTGAGTAACAGCAGTATCGCAAACCGATGAAAATCACACGATCGTGGTAAAGGATTAACACTTAACTTTTTTTATCTACACGTTTATTTTGTTGTAACAAAGAGGAGTCTTACCTGCATCCGTATTTTCTGAAAAACAAAAGCATAAATTATAATTTGTTTATTTGAAACTAAACATTCGTACTCTTATACTATGTAAGCGCACAACTTTATCCATCTGTAATGGACACTGCCTTTTCCGTCGTTTTCATGCAGGGGGCGCTGCAAACCTACACGTGCCCCCTGCATTAACGACGGAGCCGCAGGGACAAGATGTTCGATTACGTTGGAATCGATCTGCAGACGGCGGTCTTCTCGCACGGCCAGCAGCTCTACGTCGCCTTATCTCGATCCCGCAATCCCAAACAGGTGAAAGTCCCGCATCGAACCGAACCCCAAGCAAGGCCATCTTACTTAACGACGAGAGGAAATTCACACGAAATGTAGTTTTCAATTAAGTCTTCCAGATGTAAAATGATATAAGCTTTTAATGAAGAAATACAATAATCTAATTGAAAACATAATACAATTCAAAGACGTTTCATTTTAAAACTTCAAAATGGAGCATCGGGTGCTTGCGTGAATGCGTCGTTCGTGTGCAATTTGTTTCATGACTTTCCTGGCCGAAGGCCGTAAATGGTTGTTCAACAACCCCTAGTATGCTATATTTGTGTGCAAAAAAAACAACAACAAAAACACACATAAAAGCAAATTCAAATACCACCTGCGAGCTGAAAACATTTCTAACTCTGCGTGGTGATAAGATGTATATAGTGTGCGAATTCACCTGCCCAGAGCATTAAAGAAAATAGAAGACAGAGGGCCCACGGGCGGAGTGCCATTTTGTTTGGGAGGGTCCCACCAACGTCTTTGCAACTTGTCAGCCAAAAACACCTGGGAAGTAGAGGGCTTCACCTTTTAGCAAACAAACACCAGGTGATCACACATCACAGTGAGTCACTTGTTCAATACCACAGACACTGAGCGCAGGCCCAACAGCCTACAATGTAAAGTGGCCAGCAACCAGGAGCTAATGTGTAAATAGCACGTCAGTTACGAACTGACGCATTGGATTGTGGAATTGAGGGAGATCATAGGAGTTGAGCAAAAGATCGATCATGGAAGCGAGTTTCAAAGTCAAGCAGTGAAGGAGAGAATGGTGAATATAAACGTGCCCTCCTGCAATGTGGTGGTTGAACACAACGTGGATTAAAGTGAACGGCAGGTTTGTTGAAATTCATCTTTGACATTGGTTGAACGAATCGTGGGTGACGTTTATGGGGAAATGACTGCGCAGTAGCGATGACAGAATTACAAATATGCAATTGAAATATGGTGAGAAAGTGACAAAACTGAAACCTTGTTATAAGGAATCATGTTACTGCATTAACCACAATACCTGCAGTCAAAATGCAAACATAGTCACTTTAAGATGTTTTTCTTGTTCGTGTTTTTGCTTTTTTTGTTTGTTGTGGTTGCACCCGATTCAAGAGCCGGATGGTTCACAGGGCTATACCAAAATAAACTGAACTGAACTGAATCAACTAGCCGGGTAGTTTTATGTTGAATTACATCTGCAAAGTCATGTATGAACTAGAAACTTGAGCTTCATACAGCAGTACTAACTGTTGTATGAATCTGTTTCAAAAGTTAATTGAGCCAAAGAAGACTGACTGAAACCCCCTGATTCGATCATAATCGATTATTCGACTCTCAGAACCTGGCTGCACTTGTGAGCTGGTTTACCACCTTTTGGGCCACCATCTTCTTAATTTACAAGGTGGAACAAGAAACAGCCGATGGCGGGGTTGAATATGCGGTAATCATATAATGCGGTACACTTTGATATCAATGAGTTCATCTGATCATGTGAGACGTGGTAATGGAGATATGTTACGTGGACAAATTATACCGATCCATTATCGTGCAATATTAATCCTTTTAACGGAGCTCTCAAGTTGATACTGCTAATGTGTAAGACAGCCCAGAGTTTACGTCTTCCCCTTTTACGCCGTTTCACAAATGTGTCGCCGCTTTATTATGAACACCGCTATCCGATTTGCGTCACCTCAAGCCACGCTTAATGTCGCCGACAGCATCATCCATCCACCTCTCGTATCTGTCGCCTTTCACTCAGCCTTCGCCTGCACCTACCCTCTAAACCGCTTTCATTGACGTCGTTTAGAAATTCGTCATCGCACCTTTCAGGAACACATCCCCGACGTAAATCGGGGTATTACCGTGTTTGTGTTCGCACCCCTCCACGCACCCAACCTCCCCTGTCGGGTAGGAGCGTGGGAAAGATAGGGAAGGGAATGGGGGACCGATTCTGATTCTTTTCCCAAATTAAGACCTGATTGAAAAGTCACCAGGGAGGACAGCAGGGGTTTTGGTAAACATGTGCTGTTACCACGTTTGCGATCTGTATTATGCCTTTTGGTTGCTTACTACGTAACTATTAATACGCCCCAGCAGAGTTTCTGTCAGAGGGTCATGCTCAGGTGCGTGACGCTTGAGAGCTCTGCTGTTATTGGGAAGAAAATCATACTCTACTTTTATCTTTAATCGCGTGTTTGCAATATTATGGATGAGAAGAAGGCTTGATTGATGACCGTTATTAACGAGGTAAGATCCAATTGAGACTACAAGGATGACTTAGTATCAAAAGCCACTGATATGTTAAGAAGACGAAAGCCTTTCTTTCACTTATTTTACTCAAACGTAATTTCCGCTGTGTGGATAAAGCATGGAAAATGTTTGGGTTTGCTACAGCTGGCAGCATATTGAGGCTCTATGTAACAACTCATCTACTATTACCAATAACACCTCAGTACAAATGTAACACTGACCATAATGTGCCCCTGTAAATGTAAGTTTATCAAACGCACGCCGTGTGCAGTTAGCCTTCCGCACAACCTTCCAGAATGTTCTCACCACAAACCCAAATTCTAGGCCTAACCCTAATTCCTCTTATTTGTGTCAAATTGCAAAAGAGTGAATGGACTGTACATATTGATATAATTTCGTCATTTGATTACACCCACTAACCTCTGGTTGACTATGATTAGGATTATAATTTGTACAATGATAGCAAAATGCATGGAAAGTGTCGTGACTCTTTCAGTGCTATGCGGCCATTTTAACTCTTGACTCCGACGAAAGTAATTCGTGTTATATTCGTGTTATCCGTCATTATTTCAGCACGACGAGGTGTAATGAGCGATCACACATTCCTCTTCTAACAAAAGCAACATCGATAGGCTGGTGCTGTGACAGACCGATTGTCTCACAAATCCCGATGTGATGGGCCGAATAGGTCCATCATCCAGCCAGAAAAGACAAAATAAGTTACCACTTTGTGGGAAGCCAACAGTTGCTTGACTTACATAAATAAAATTGCACCTGCCATAGGAATGTGGAATTTCACCACTGGTGAAACGGGCGCTATTTGTAAATGGGAACTGCACAAGTACACAAGATGAGGCCCTGACAGTAAAAATCCAACCAATAACAGGGATATCTTGTCACTTCTCTTATCCGCCAATTTGTGGAAAATGGGAGTTATGCGGTACATGGACAATGGATTAATCGTGCACCCCGATGACAAAAAATACGGTATTGTGGGTAAAGCTAAATGTGGATATTGTAAATAGATGGTTACGGACAGTTTTTTGGCCGTTGTAGTTCTGGGATTAAAAACAATACTGGACGGCAGACGTCATGCCAAAAATTCTATATAATATTGTCCTTCCCCCGCACCTCCAATTAACACGGTTGGCTACGTACAATGCGAAAGAATTTCAACAAACATACATACAGTATATATTTACCAATGTGACAGACACGTAACATTGTTAATTCATGCATTTTAGTGTATAAGATTTATACACGACGTACATTGATCCAACCAACGCCGTTAGCTATTTTAGCACGCGATTACCACCCCTTGCGGTTGCGTTGCGCTTCTAGGTTGATAACAAGTCATTCGTAAAAAGAAAACGTGTAAAGATGCGATGCAAATATAGCTGTCGATATGAAGTATCATTCACTCGCGTTACGACATCAAATATAGAGTGATTTCTGAAGAGACTCACCTCGAGTGAATTTGACGATATTATCCAAATAGCTTCTTTCAGTAAAGTCCGTCTTCACAGTTTATAGAGAAATGGGCCTTGTGGCACAAGGAAGTAAATTTTAAAGCTCTTTGAAGCAGATGGTTAACGGTTAACTGATAGATTTTGGGTTCAAGAGTACTAAGGTCGGATTTACAGCTTCGAGCGGTGTGCCGTTTCATAGTAATAATTAACCAGATTGAGAGATCTCAGGTTGTTTCACACCCGGGCGGGCTTACCAGATGACAAGGACCTCTGCACAGGCGTGTCTGTGTGAGAGCTGCTTTGTATGAAGAATGGCAGACCGCGTTGAATGGAATCCCAAGCAATGGACATTTACTGACCAATTGAAAATAGCCGTAAATATCAGTGGCAACGGAGCCACTGTGCGTCCCCCACCTTCTCTCGAGTGTTGGACATCTCTACGGTTTGTGGACAGCCAGTGGTGGAAACGTGAATATTCACTGCGATGTGGCCTGTGATCTGAATAGTGAATACAACTACAATCTCCTGTCAAGTGTCAATCATGCGCACAAACTCTTTGGGATGACGCTGATTAACTAAGTAAAAGTTCACCAAGATCTGTTACTGAAAGTATTACATACATTATTCACGATACCTTATGACAACACGTTTAATTTGTGAAAGGGATGAAAACAAGCAACCCACGATTGAGATTTGCGTCTCCCCAAATCAATGTTTCACAATGAAATCAGTCCACAAACTTCAACTTAACTCCTACACTAATAGCATGTATGTTCAATATTTATTGATGTCAAAGCTCCATAAACATACGTTTTGAGAGGGAAAGTAATTTGTTGACAGCCAGGTTAAAGCTGCCATGACTGAATAATTTGCTATATTTGAAGGTATTGGCTCAGCACATTCTGAATGCTGTAGGTTCAGAAATAGCCGGAGTGATATGCCAAAGACAATTCGCAAATATGATCAGTCGGGAGCAGCTGCTGCTGAAAATGGCCAAAATAATTCTGCTTCCTCTAATATTCTTAAACTTAAGATAAAAAAAATGCAAGAGAATGCCCATTTACAAGGTCGGCCTGCTTGCTTGCTCGACATTAACATCACCAGACATCATCGTCTGAAGTTGGTGAAATGTTGTGATATATTTTGTGTTCATCAGAATTAGTTTTTTTACTTTATTTCATAAGCATATTAAGCATGACACGTAGGTAATCCGCCTGATGACGATTGCTTACGTTGCGATCGAAACGTCGTAATCTATTTTTTTTTCTACCTACGTGACTTTACCGAAAGAACCAAAGAGTAAGGATTCCTACAGTCACGGAAGCTTAAAATCAATATTAAGCATTGTTCACAATGTTTGGACGAGACAATGGGGTGGAGGTGTACAATACAAATCAGGACTTATTTGTGGGTTTTAATCGTGGGCTGAAGGGAGAAGGGTGTTGAGTCGTTAATGGAAGGATGAGGGTGCAGGAGTTCTGCATGGACGAATGTGTGGCAGAATGTGGTGGCAATGACAGAGGTGTATTGAACGGACGTGACTTGTGATGCGTTGATGGAGTCTTCATGAAGGGAGTGAACCGCGACATTTTACAGCAAAATGCCAGTGAGCCCACGAGTTTATTATCGTGGTGGTCAGGGGTGGAGCCACAGGGGGGGCTGGGGGGGGCTTAGTCCCCCCTGAAATTTTGGGAAAGTCGGTAATCGGAATAACCGGATATCCGGCTGCTGCAAAATGCTGCAGCCTGCCACCTCGTGCTGCCCTGCAGGCTGCCACCTTGTGCTGCCCTGCAGGCTGCCACCTTGTGCTGCCCTGCAGGCTGCCACCTTGTGCTGCCCTGCAGGCTGCCATCTCGTGTGCTGCTCTGCAGGCTGCCACCTTGTGCTGCCCTGCAGGCTGCCACCTCGTGCTGCCCTGCAGGCTGCCACCTTGTGCTGCCCTGCAGGCTGCCACCTTGTGCTGCCCTGCAGGCTGCCACCTTGTGCTGCCCTGCAGGCTGCCACCTTGTGTGCTGCCACCTTGTGCTGCCCTGCAGGCTGCCACCGTGTGCTGCCCTGCAGGCTGCCACCTTGTGCTGCCACCTCGTGCTGCCCTGCAGGCTGCCACCTTGTGCTGCCACCTTGTGCTGCCCTGCAGGCTGCCACCTCGTGCTGCCCTGCAGGCTGCCACCTTGTGTACTGCCCTGCAGGCTGCTTGAGCGGCAGCCTTTCGAACTTATCGAACTTATTAGCCACATCAGCGGCTCCGATCTATTAATTAACTCCGCGTTCAAATCCAATAAAATGTGTTTTATACATTTGTGGCGCCCATTGGAAAACATAAACTGGATATCTCAGAATATTGAAATCACCCCCCCCCCCCAAATTCAAAGTCAAAATCCTGGCTCCGCCCCTGGTGGTGGTGAGATGTTAATTCCTTCACTTGGTATGCAGGAGGTCGTGGGTTCCATATTTGGAGTTCGCTTGCTCGCGTGGATTTTTCTCCAGGTCCTCCGAATTTTCCCCTGCACATGTAGAAAAGCATGCGTTTAGAGTATTTGGCTACTATAGAATTCCACGTGATGATAAGGCAGATAAGCCATTTCTCTGGGCTATCACTTGTGGTCAGGTCGCTTCTGAAAAAAGAGCTATATAGCTCGGTGGGCCTTACCTTTATGAAATAAAACATTGTTTAGTTTTAATGCCACGACAAAATACACAGGCTCGGTTCTAGAGAGGGGTGTACTATAATGCAACAAACATTCCCGTCTTTGGCTGAGCACTCAACTTGCAGAGGTGGTCAAGGGTTCACAAACTACTCACGAGCCTTTATCAAAGTCTACACTGGAGGTAGATTGTATGGCAAATACCCTGTGATTAAACAAGCAAAATAAATTGCCTCATTAAAGACTGTTGACTTAACTGGTACAGTATATTTTTTTATTTTGTTTAAAAATACAACTTTTAATCTGAGCTATCCCAAACAAATATTGAGATTGATATAGTTGTTCACGCGATAACTTACGTTAACGGTCAGTTTTAATTAAAATACATGGTTTCTTAAGGGAGCGGTGGCGCAGTGGTTAACCCATTGTCATACGAACCTGGCAAAACGAATCAATTTTTTTTTCCACGGCTGTCATCAGTGGCAAAGAGATATCTGGAACCAGTCCTGCTCCCGGCCCCCTTTCAGCAACCCGCTATTGACCAGCATGGTGAAGTATGGCCAAATAATCCCCATGTCCGGCAACTGTGTTGGGAGGCAATCATCCAGCAGTGGATTGACAGAGGGCTGAAAACAGTCCCTCGCGGATTCCCTGGTACTCGTTGGTGAATGGGCCCAAGTCCCTCACGGATTCCCTGGTACTCGTTGGTGAATGGGCCCTAGTCCCTCACTGATTCTCTGGTAGTCGTTCATGAATCTGCCCCAGTCCCCTCACGGATTCCCCGGTTCCCCCACCGCCCTCACCCCAGTTGTGCCGCTGGACGGGAGGTGACGAGCGGGGCTTGACGATAATCACGGGCATCATGACCCCGTCACGCCACGCTCGCTCGCTGGCCGCCGAGCCTTGTCAGAGAGAGTTTCTCGCCCTCGGGAAGGCTTCCAGAGGTGGACGTTCTGTGACACTTTTCAAGGGGGAACCGAGTAAATTGATTAAATTAATCACCAGTTGATTCATCGACTTACCTCGACTCATCGCCCCAGCGTATCGATCTAACCAAAGTCCTATCGATATTCGCAGAGAGCCTGGTGTGACCTTTCTTGGCGAGACCGTACGGTAAATTGATTTGCAAAAGAAAAAAAAACAACCAACAACTGAACGCTACACACGACAATAGTAATTCCGAGTTGATTCATCGATTACCTCGACTCAGCTTATCGATCTACCTACCCATAGTCCTACCGGTACGCGCAGAGAGCCGGGTGTGACCCGCTTGGCAGCTAACTCATTGTCTTCGTCATTTTTGGGGGGGGGGCCATAACCAAAGGGCCGTCCATAAATGACGTCACGCGATTTTTGACGATTTTTGACCCCTCCGCCCCTCGTTACACGGCGTCATAAAAAGTCAGATCCTCCCTCAAATATGACGTCACAAAGCTCTGCTCCCCCCCCCCCCCCCCAAAAATGAAACATGCTTCAAATCGCTTTAAACTATTGTCCTTGTAGTGCGTATTTAATGTGGCGCTGCACTCTGATGTTGTAGGAGAAAACATTTATTAAAAAGTCTATTTACTTAAGTACAACGTGTTGTCTATATTTATTTAAAGTTGCGCATTTTTACGTGACGTCACATTTCTCAAACCCCCCCCCCCCTCGTCACACATCGTCACAAATGTCTGACCCCCCCCCCCCTTAGGTGCGTGATGTTATTTATGGACGGCACCCAACGGGGTCGACAAATCAAAATAGCCAGAAGAGAAGTTTTTCCTCGGTAAAACAAGAAAAAATCCCCTCCCAATCTCAATAATTCGCACGTGCTGAATACGAGACGGACGTCTTCCTGGGCAAATAAACTTCCTTTAAAAGAGATCCGCCCGCAATGCCGTTCCGAAGCCGCATGTTAACCGGTTCAACCCATCCCACTCCGACCCCTGACACACAATCACGTTCCCATTATCTCCGTAGCTAACAACAGCAACAGCAGCTGGAGCAAGTTGCAAACCTGTCAACCCCTTATATTATGTCTGTAATATGTATGTATTAAGGTAGTCTGTAACAAGGTAGGGCCCTACCTTATTACAGACTAATTCAGACCTCATTGGTCACTTCATAAGAAAGGTTTTTGGGTTTGATCGCGTTATTTATAAATGTGTCGCATCCCTCCACCACCCGACACGGCCAATCAGTAAAAAAATGTGTCACGTTGACAAAAAGGCAAATCAAATACGATTCTGGCAAATCGCCCGATAATGCTGGATGTAATTTCCAGCGAAACGTCGTTCTCGAATTGTAAATGTTGTGGATTCACTCTTCAACACACCAGTGGGTTAAAGTCGTGAACTATTTGTGTTTTGTCAACGTGGCAGATTTTTTTTACAAATTGGCCGTGTCGGGTGGTGGAGGGTTGCGACACAACGCGATCTAACCCAAAAACCTTTATTATGAATAATACTGGTCGCGAAAGCCTACGTGTTAAACTCATTGCTGAACCGTGCCCCTTATAAATCTCAAAGTCCATCCTACAAAGTCTCATCACAACAGAGAAACACAAACAAATAGACAATCGCCACTACTATACTCACCACTAGTACACTCACCACTCGTACACTCACCACTCATACACTCACCACTAGTACACTCACCACTACACTCACCACGAGTACACTCACCACTAGTACACTCACCACTAAATCGCTGTCAACCCCTTATCAATGCCCTACCTTATTACAGACCAACTTAGACCGTATTCGTCACCCCGTGCCCCTTATAAATCTCAACGTTCATCCTACAACGTCCCATCACAAGGGAGAAACACGCCGTATGGACCTGAAAACTCAATTTCCCTGTACAAGAATACGGCTAAACCATATGGTTTGACAGGTATGGTTGTTTTAGTCGTGTTTCTTTTTTTTATTATGTGAAGATGTTAAGTCGAGCCCATAGTGGGTGACCATAGGTAGGGTCTAAGAGCAGATACGGAAACCCGAGGTGGTAAAGCGTTAGTCATACCAACTCCTTTATACGGCCCATAAAAGCTACAACCACAAATACTCTATGGCACCTGTGTACCGGAATTTCGTACCACGAAGCTTACTGCACCTCCCTGGGGAACAGTACCAGTTGCTCATGCCCTTACCCTGGCCTATGGAGCCACCATGGACGCCACGGTGGCTAGGAGATGTTAACTACCTCGCCTGGTTTGCAGGAGGTCGTGGGTTCGATCCCGACCCTGATGCCTGCTGCTGAAAATTTGAAGTTTGCGTCTCTCTCTCTCTCTTCCCGTGGTAGCGTGGATGTTCCTCCGGGTCGTCCGGGTTTTCCCCTCCACATTTAGAATCAACGTGATAAGCAGCCTCATTGAG